GGGAGAACAAGGGAATCCGTGGCTGATATGTAAAATTAAATTTAATAAATAAACTTAAAAAAAGAAAAAACAGAAAAAACAAAATAAATAAATAAATAAATAAATAAATAAATAAATAAATAAATAAATAAAATAAAAAAGGGCCTTGACTATCATTCTCATTTTTCCATTCTGAACGAGGCTGATGTATCATGGTAACGATAGCAATAAAACAAACACCTATGCACTGGACAGTTATCATGCCAGGTTCTGGGTCAGATGCTTCATATTATGTTGAACCTTGTGGAACTTTCTCACATTAGACAATTTTCTTGGTATTTTCGAACATAAGGAGGCTTGAACTGAAGCATTCTAATGGGGATGAGATGCACAGGATCCTAGGGCTAAAGAGAATAATTTAATTTTTAGATTAAAATAGGAGAATCTGGGGAAGACTTACTGCTAATAAGTCCAGCTCGCTAAAGTTCTCAGCCTATGCATGGTGTTTACATTGGCAACGTTTTTGTAAATGAGAGATTCCCTTCAAGACAATCATGCGTGTTACTTTTAGTCGAGGCCTTTCTGTCAGCTGTAAACATGCTTGCAGCTCGGCTGGTCTTTGCTCTCCTTGTGCTTTCAGTCCAATCTCTAGTGGCTGTGAGATGCTGGCCAACTCTCTTAAAGCATGCCCACCTGTCACCTTTAACGGGAAGCATGCCTTCCAGGGCAGAGAGATGGTGTTTGGCTGCTAGGCAGGTGAGAGTCTGTTAAATGCTCTTGCTGTAGGCAACTTTCACCTCGGCCTGTCCTTTTCCTCAGGCAAGGTCACCGATCCAGGCTCTTGCCTTTCACACCCTTCCAATCCAACTCTAAATTGATTGCTCACACTGACCATCTTCCGTCCACCTCATAGAGATGGACGCTGTTTGTATGCATGGAGGATGGTTATCCAGTAATTATTTCTGTGACCCTGGGCTTCTGAAGTGTTTTCATCTCTCTGGGTTTGTTGTGCCTTCTCTGAGTGACAAATTGGACCAAGCACTTGCTATGGCTCTGTGGATTTACTGGTCTTCATCTCAGGGTGGTCCACAACCCCTGAGGCCTCTAGTCCCGGCCTTGTCAGCAAATGACCTGAGGGCAACCTGCTTAATCACTCAATGCTTTGGCAGTCCCCCATTTTTAAATAGGACAAAGTATCTGGTTCTCTACCCTGCCACAGGAAAAGGGAGTGCGAGTTAATGAGAAAAGTGTGCACAAGGCACCTGGGAGCTGCCCTGAGAAAGGTGCTCTCTATAATTACTCCAGTGCTGAGATGATGGAGCTGGGCATTTCAGGGACTGCCTGATGACCTGGGTGCATTTTCACGTCAGTCATCTGCCCACACTCACTCTTCTCACGCTCATTCAAACAATGTCACTTAGCAGGAATTAACATTTTCCCTATCATCTTACTTTCCTGACATGTTCCTTCCAGCAAACCTGAAAGGAAATGGGGCACTACATATGAAATGAATGGTCTGTAGACTGTGGTTCTCCAAGTGCAGAAACGTGAGGGGAAGAGGATAAACAGTTACAGATGGTGTTCCGGGTGGGAGCCAGTGGTTCATATCAGCAAGGCTGGGAGCTTAGGAAGGGTCCCGAAATGCAAAGAGGAAAGGTGAACCATAACATAAAAAGCAGCAGGCACAAGGAGCCCTTCACTTTAAAGTGATCCATTCCGGGGGAGTCAGAGAGGAATTGTGTTTCTTGGGCTGAGTGACTTGGGCATGTTATCTAAGCTTTCTAAATCTCGGTTTCCTTATTGATAATTTAATAATAGTTCCAAAGTGCATGTGTGTGAACTTCTTTTGAAAATTGATGAGGCACTTAAAGCAAAGTACAGGTCATTTTAAGGAAAGCTAAAATGTCCCATCCAGCCTGCAGGAACTGAGGATAAAGTAAACCAAGTGAGAAATCACTTCACTGCATAGGAGAGTGAATCCTGAGTTAAACAAAGGCCAAACCAAAATAAAGAAAATAATGTTTCAGATGAGCCCTAAAGCAGGCTGTTTGGTAAAGCTAGCAATTAAAAGTGAAGCACACAATCTTACGTCTACATGTCAATGGAAGAAGTGGTACCCGAAGGAAAAAGGTCAGCCCAAAGCATAGAGACGGTATTTCCTGCCAGTCAGCAACTCAGCGCTGGAGGCTGAGAGGCCAACCAGCAGGTGAAGAATCAGGGGAGAAGCCTATACTGCCTTTTCGAGGATGGAGTGGTAAAAGTTTGTTTTCCTCAATTTTTCAAAGCCTGCTCTTTGGCCCCTCAAGGACCAGCTCTGACACTTAACACTATTATGACAGACAGGGAGAGAAATGAAGAGGAAGAAAAATAATGATTAGAAAATGGGTACAGAGGGTTCACACCATTTCAGCGAGAGTCATAACAGGCCTGCATTGAGATCTTAGCATCGGGGGCTCAGCAAGAACGCATTTATTCTACTGATTATTCCTTATTCTAGTCAGGCTTTTCCAGGGCTATGTAAAGAACAGTAAATGCAGTTTTCAGCTCCACTTATGTCTGCCACTGTCACCGCCTCTCCATCTTCTGCTGCAGCACAGTGCCTACCCTCTTCTTTGGGTGAGCACAGAGGGGATGGTTGGGGGTCAGAAAACCCAGACAGGATGCTTGGTGAGGCATAGAGCACCAAGGAAGGCAGAGGATGAGGGAATAGAGGTAGTCCTGGAAGTACAGATCTACTCAATGGGGAAATGAAGATTGGACCAGAAAACAGGAAAGGGCTTGGTACCAACATTGCGGGTTTGCTCAAACTCTCCATCCAGAGGTGTCTGGTGAGAGAGGGCATGCAGTAACAGGATATAACTGGTATGACCCCCTGCTGGCCTTTCTGCCTAGTCCCTGCTGAGTGTATAGGAAGGACTGCTAACTGGGACATATATATTCACAAACTTCTGTGGCTTCACTGACAACTCAGATATTTTGGTGGTAAGTAGAACTTTAAGTACCCAGGGAACTTTGTCTATATTATCTGACCTCCTATAGTGGTATGAATGGGGTAGATATTAACACCCCAGAAAATAGTATCTCCTGTTACTTTTGTGCTAATGTCCTCAAGACGAACAATAGCCAAGAGTAAGGTAAGCAAGGGCTCAATCCCTGCTAACTCCTCCTCCCAACGTGAGCAGTTCCTTCCCCCTAGCTCCTGCTGAAAAATGCATGGTGTCTCTGTAATATATATTCCTAAGTGGCTGTGATAATGTTACAGCATTTATACACTAGAGTTTTTGTATCCATTACTTAGTCCTCAGAGTAACCTATTATTAAGACCTGAAAAACTGTGATTTGGGTTCAAACTAGAACTCACTTAAAGTCACTCAGTCACCAAGTGGTAAAACAAGACTTCCTCCTCTAAAAATACATCCACTATCTTGACAAGATTAATAGTCCAATTCCTATATGGGTGGTCAAAGCACTGTCTTGTGTCTCTCTTAGTACCCTACTGCTAACACTGACATGTTAACAGCTATTCCTCTTTCTACATTGAATTCATGGCTGAAGAAGCTGAGCTCCCAAAAGGAGCAGAATTATCTTAAGTGCACAGGACATCAATGGGCTAAAAAGCATCACCAACGGCTGGGCTGTTGATAATATGATTCAGAAAAAAGCCAAAGAACTGTAATTTGTTGGTGAAAAACCACAAGTGGGAATATAGATACCCTACAGTATATTCTAAAGTTTTTTTTTTTTTAAAGAAAGAAATCTAAAAGTCGTGCAGAGAAAAGAATGCATTTATGTATAAGTTACTTGAATTAAGTTCTCCTGGAAAGCATGTCCACATTTTTGAACATTCATTTACATACTCACTCAACAAACATTTGCTAAGAAACTACATATGCTAGCCCATATTCATTTATAGATTTTTTTTTTTTTTTTTTTAAGTAAAATGCCCTAAGTTTGGATCTTAAGAGAAAGTTCCACCTGGAGTTTCCAGATAAAATATATGACACTCTGTTAAGTTGCTTGCCTTGAAATCCATGGCAACACCGAGGCTTAGCCTTCTAACATCCTCCATCTCTGGCTTCTGATCCCTACCTCTTGCTCCCTTATTTTGACCCTTGTTTTGTCTATTGATGGGAGAAATGAGAGAGAACCCTGCTTTGTCCCATGAAGGACGGCTGGTGCTAGCTTTCTTTTTCTCTAATTCTTTTGCTTCCATGTTCAATATTGAAATATATAGATAGGACTTTCCAAACTGTCAGTGCCAAATAACTCTAGAATGAAAGGGTAAATAAAGAGTTGATTTGAAAGAACTAAATGCCTGGTTGGCATAGGTACAAGACTGTTCTCAGATGTGCCTGCATTATATACATTTAAATAGCTTCAGGATTTACTGAGGACCTTAGTCATCTACTGCATTATGCAGACCACACTTTGAATATAGCTCAGGTTTATAAAAATGTCTTTACCTATAGCTTTTTGCTTCTGTAATATATAAGTGTACAAAACCACCGCTGATTTTTATCACAGGCAAAGCCATTTACTTGGATTAACTACAGGATTCCTTGGTACACCTACTGGAGAAATGCATTGATACACTGAAAAGACAATTTGTGGTAGGATGAGAGTTTTATGTTGCAAATTTAAGATCTTATTTCAGTACATGACCTGACAGGATGTACGTATTTTCTATTTGATGCGTCTATAGAAGACACTAACAAGGAAAGAAGATATGTATGTGGTCCAAGATGAACTAAGTCAGCTTTGCCTAAAGAGATACTTGCACAAATGGCTCTTCCACTATTCTTAATCTTAATTGCTAATTCTTAATTTTCAAGACTATTAAATCAGCTGTTTTCAGATGAAAAGGATAAAACTACTTGAGAGCCTATTTGCAATATAATACTCCATAAGTAAAAAAGGCTCTTTGGTTAACTCATTTGATTGATTTCAGGTTATTGCTGCATTCACCTTTGCCCTAAGAAAATTAAACATATGACTTATCACTACCCAATTTTCTTTCTAAGTCCAGCAATGAATCTCTGTGTTTATTTGGATGTGTGAAAATGAAGATTTAAGCACAGGTAATGGACATAATGTCACATACACTTAACTTCATGTCCTGACTTAGACTGAACGACAAAGAAGGCCAAGTTCAGCTCAGGCCATGTGCTATTTCAGTTGCTCCCGTGCATAGGGAGCGTTTTTATGTATCAATGGCTTCCCTTTTCTTCTGATCCTCTATTGAAATGTATGTGCCGTCTACCTTATTCCTTAGATTTGTGCCAGCCTGGTGTGAGATGTGTGGCTGCTCTGCGAGGGAATTTTCCCCCTGTATTAGAATTCAAGTATGTAAGTATTCCCTGACGAATGGTTTTATCTAACATAACTATTCTAGACTAAAAACTTTGCCAGGAGAGCGACTCTTGTAAGAATTTCAAGTGTGACTCTCATTGTTGCAGCCAGTGACTTTAGTTCTTAGAGAACCTGTGGGAAGCCATAACCACTCGGATGATCTCTTATGTGGAGATACTCGTATTTGTGTCCCATTATACAGTTAGGGAAAGGGCAGGCTCAGAGGTCTGCTGAGCGTTATCTCTGGAGTTGTAAGAGTCCAGGAAACCATCCTTCCTAAGTCCTCTGGAGAAACAAATAGCCCAGAGCAGCCTGGACTGTTCAACTTTTTCTTTTATTTAGTTGAAAGACTCTGTAGAGCTCTCAGTGGTTCAATTCTATTTTTTGGAGCCAAACAGAATAAACTTACTACCTCTTCTTCCCAGCCATCTTAATAATGGTAATCACAGCTACAACTGACACAGAACTTACTGTGCTAGGAACATCTTTAAGTCATGTATGTCTATACAATTCTCAAAAGCAGGACAAGGAGGGTACATCACTACTATTCTCTCTCTCCTCTCCCCCACCCCCAAAGGAAATCAGGTGTAAAGGAGTTAAGTGACTTCTTCCAAGGTGGCATGGTTCAGTAGTAAGTAGCTGGGCCTGAACTCCAGACTGAGCAGTCTGTCTCCACAAGAGCAAGCTTTGAACCTGTGCTGCGCCACCTCCAAACCTCTGGTACTTGAATATGATGCCCCGAGTCTTCTCTTCTGCAGGCTGGACACTCCTGGAGCATCCTTTTTCCATGAAGGGTTCTTATGATTTGGGGTACTTTATTCCTATGACGGGTATAGCTAGACTTCTAGAAGGGGCCCATGGTGGGGTTTCTTTGAAATTTGAAAGATGACTCCAACCCTTCCCTTCTACCTATTGTCCCCAGCCCCCCACCCCCACCCCAGCCCTCCATACCCTGCTGCCAAGTTTTCAGAGAAGCGACACTCACCTGTATGGACGAACATGTGCTTGACGTAGTTCTGTTTGGCTGTGAAAGTCTTGTTGCAGAGAGTACACTCATAAGGCTTTTTTTCGCCTTGCCCACTGGCTGTGCTGTGGCCTGCAGATGATGCCAGGGGCTGGGGCGCTGGCAGCTGTGCAGTAAAGGTAGACAGGCCGGGCTGGGACACTGTCACAAACTGGGTCTGCTGGCCTGTCAGGGGCTGTGGCAGGCTGAAGAGAAAAGGCTTGGGGCCACTGCCCGCGGGCTGGGTAGTGAAGAGGGCTGGCAGGTAGGTGTTGCCAGCTGTGCCAATGACCTGTGTGTTGCTGGTCAAGGTCAGAGGCATCCTCAGGTTGCTGGTGAGCGTTTCTGTCTGGCGTAAATAGAGCTGGGTACTTGGCAATGGCTGCCCAATGGATGTGTTGACTGAAGGCTGTTGCAGGACGCCCTTATCAGAGCTGTTACTGACAGTGATCACTGTGTTGTCCATCTCCACCTCGTTGCTTCTCTCCGGAGAGGAGGCACCTGTTTCTAGCTGGTTTGGCTGGGCACTGCCCTCAGCTGGGGCTTCTGCTGCCTGCTCAGGTTGGGCGGGTTCCGCCTGACTGTCCCTTGAGGCTCCCGCTCCAAACTGTTGCTCCACTGAGTCAGGTTCGGTGCCAATAGAGGAGCTGACCCCGGAATCAAAGCTTTCACCTTTGGGCTCGCTCTCTGTGCCCTCGGCCTGGTCGGTGTCTTCCGTGCATTCCTCGGATTCATTGCGCTCTAGGATCTGCACCCTTTGCTGCCCATAGTAGTCATAGTCATCCTCCATTTCCTGCTTGATGTGGATGTTGCCCACCAGGGTCTGGATGCGCACAGGCCGGGGCTGCTTGCGGCAGTGTGTGGTCTCAGGGGTGGTGGACAGGTAGCGCTCCATCTGCTGGGAGCGCTCATGGATGCGTGTGATCCAGCTGGGGTCTTCCATGTGGTGGTCACGGGGCAGGCCGAGTGCGGTTTCGTGGTGGCTGACGACCGCACCGCTGTAGAAAGAGCGCTCGCCGCTGCCATTCTGCATGGAACAAGCGTACAGTGCCGAGTAGATTCGGTCCACACTGTGTTGTGGATGGCTCTGCAGGTAGCCTGATTCCGTGTCACTGCTCTGGCCAGATGTGCCTGACTCTGGTGTGCCTCTTGGTGTGTCCTGGCCAGAATCCTGGATGCCTGGAAACACATCACCCACGTTTTGTGACACAATGCGTGTGCACTCATCTATGACTGTTTTGATCTGCAGGATGCTGGCGGCTGTGAGGATTTGCAGAGCTTCCGACTGTGAGACTCGCAGCACACCACTGTACATGAAGTCAATGAGCTTCTGCACCGACTGCACTGACACCACCGATGGGATTTCGATGTCGCTGTAGCCCAGCAGCAGCTTATCTTGGAAGAAGGGGCTGCCGGCTGCCAGCACGCAGCGGTGCGCGCGCAGCATGCTCCCGTGGATGCGAACCGTCACGTCACAGAAGTGGCCACGGTTGCGCTGCTCGTTGAGGGTCTCGAGCACGGAATTGCTGAAGTTGTGAAGGTTGATGCTGTGAATGCGCTCGGTCATCCCCTTGCAACTGATGTCACCTGCAGTACAGTGAGGCAAATACAAGACAGGGCACATAGTGAGATTTAGCCGGTTGGATTCCTAACACTGAGGTCTCAGATGAGTAAAGCCGGAACCTCCTTGCAGATGCATGCACAAGCTGGGCAGGCTGCGCACGTAGCCTAGGCAAGCAATGCCTTGAGTTCCTCCCCACCTCGGGTCTTAGTGTTTCAGCTATTTTGGATATCACATTCGTACTGATCCCCCCCAAATTCAGGCAACGTTGTCTTCTGAAAGGATAACCAGATGGGTTGTTGCCTGCTATTCCTGTAACTGTGGCAAGAAAAACTGGGTAGGCGAAGGTGCATTTATGTTCAGGGAATACTCTGCCTCACTTTGGACAGGCCTAATCCCAGTCCTCTGGGAAATTTTAATTTCCCCCTCCTCAGGTTACTGAAGTTTCTTATTTTTATTGGTAGGCAGCAACAATATTCATAGTTTAATGATGATCCCTTCCTAGTTTACAAGATATATTACCATATCCCATATCATATATGCAAAAGTTCTGGGAAAATTCAACCAAGACTTCGATGTTTACCAAACAGCTTCCACCATGCTTTCCAGATCACCAGAGGGATGAGGAATGCAATCTGCTTGCAGAGGGGTATTTTCTGGCTGCTCTCAGTACCTACACTCTTCATACTGCCCTTGGCAGTCTAAGCATTTTCAAGGATGGGTATGTAGGATACAGGTGGTGTGGAGGCTTTAATGAGGTGGTTTTAGGGGGCAGTGGGGGGGAAATAGGTTCTCTCTGTCACTCAGGCAGTCCTGAAACTCACTATCTAGCACAGGCTGGCCTTGAACTCAGATCTGCCTGCCTCTGCAATTAAAGTACATGGCAAGAGGACATGTTTTAAAGTACAAGAACTGTTTTAAAAGGCTGGTGCTGGATGTGCTTAGTGTGATCACACTAGGTGATCACATTTAGCATTCAAAATGGGCACTTTCAGAGTGAAAGACAGCACTGTTAATAATTAGTCCAAGAGAGCAGGAATAAACTGGAGGTGGGATACAAGCTTACTTTGAGCAAGAGGATAGTTTGTGGAACTATTAAACAGCTCCCAGAAGGAAGACAATAATCTTTGTGGAAGCTCTGCTAGCTTGACCAACTGCCATCCTATGCTTCAGGCTGTCTAGCTAGGTGATACCATTGTTAAGATCACCCCACACTGAGAAGAAAACAGATGGCTATGGCCTAGTCCCGGGCATTTTCCATTTTTCTACCTCACCGCTCAGATGTCTCTCAAGAATAACTTTTCTACAAGTCATTCTTCAGTCAGAACCACACTTGTAACTTCACAATCGGCAATGTTTTCTTTTGACAGAAGACATGCCTGGATTAAAAGTGCTGGAAAGATTAGTGAGGAACACTTCTGCTTCTGTCTGTGAGGGCATCATCACTGATGACTAGATTAGGAGGGGTCTGACTTAATGAGCTGGTTAAGCCCGCGATAGATTAAAAATAAGACACTATTTGGGGAGGTGGTTAGTGAAAGGGAGGAGGTTGGCCTGGTTGGAGAAAGTAATCACTAGTCATGGGACCCTCTGGGGCTGATCTTGCTGTGGCTTCTTGAATTCTCTGCTTCTTATATACAATGAAATGAAGACTCAGGCCTGCCTTATGGGTCCATTATTACAATGGGGCCAAGCCAGCATGAGTTGAAACCCCGCGCGGAGAGAAATCTTTCCTGCCAGCGCTAGCTAGGTATTGTCAACTTGACATAAACCAGAGGCACCAGAGAGGGAGAGCCCAATTGAGAAATCGCCTCCATCAGATTAACCTGTTATTATGGGGCATTTTCTTTTCTGTTCTTGAGACAGGGTTTCTCTGTGTAGCTTTGTGCCTTCCCTGGAACTCACTCTGTAGCCCAGGCTGGCCTCAAACTCACAGAGATCTGCCTGGCTCTGCCTCCAGAGTGCTGAAATTAAAGGGAAGCACCACTACTGCCTGGCTTGGGGGCCTTTTCTTGACTGCTCATTGATGGAGGAGAGCCTCATCAGCCCTGGGCAGATGGTCTTGGGGAGCATGGAAAAACAAGGCTAAGTAGAAGCTGGGAGGCAAGTTGTCTTCGTCACTGTTTTACGGCTGTGAAGAGACACCATGACTAAGGCAACTCTTATAAATAAAGAATTGAGGCTTGCTTACAGTTCCAGAGGTTTAGTCCATTAGCATCATGGCGGGCACCTTGGCGGCGTACAAGCAGATGTTGTGCTGAAGAACTAGCTCAAAATTCCACGTTTAGATCCGAAGGCAGCCAGAGAGAGATACTGAGCCCGGCTTGGGCTTTTGAAACCTCAAAGCCCTCCCCCAGTGAGACACTTCCTCCAACAAGGCCACACCTACTCCAACCAAGCCATGGCTCCTTTTTATCAAGTAGTGCCTCTCCCTGATGACTAAGCATTCAAATATGTGAGGCCATGGGGGCCATTCTTATTCAAAGGACCATGTGGTGTTCCTCCTGTAGGCTTGCTCCTTCCGTTTTTTTTTTTTTTTTTTTATTGAAAAAAATTTTTTTAGACTCAATATACTTAGATCACAGTTTCCCTTCTCAATTCCTGCCTTAACTTTCCTCAGTAATGGACTCTAACCTGTAAAACATAGTAAACCCTCTCCTCCCCAAGGTAGTTTGGGTCATGGTCTTTATCACGGGAACAGAAATCAAACTAGGACACTCCCTCCAGTTTTCTTCTGTCACGCATTTGGTCCCAATGGTGAGACGAGTTATGAATACAGAACTGAGCTGTCAGGTTGAGAGAGGACAAGAGAGGCTTTCAGAACAAAGCAGCCCTCACATCCATTGTAACTCAGATGCTAAGTCTTGTAGTAAACAACCCCAGAGGAAGGAGCCTGTGCACAGCAGGCATTTCTGCCTCCCCAGGTTCCTTCTCGGCTTTGGATAAAGGTGCTCAGGGAAGTCTGCTCCCGCCACACTTTCCGCCTGGCTCCTCCACTTGGTCCTCATACGGTCTAAGAATGATAAATGCCCTCAAGGCCCTGCAGCACATCCAGTGATGCAATTTACATTACCCTGGGTAATCGGACCTCTTTCAACTTCATCAGGTTTATTTATTATGTGTCGGAAATACTGTATTAGGTGATACTTTCCAACTTTTTTACTTAATAAAACAGATTCTAGTAGTACAACTGAATGATTATGGCAAATCCTCAAAAACTATGTTAATACACAATACATCCCTAGATGAAGATCCCAATAATTTAGGAATGGATGTCCATGAATTGCGTCAATAGATCATTTTTCAACTTCTTGCTGAATCCCCCATGCATATCTAGAAGGACAATAATAAGGACAACTTTTCTTCACCCTCATTGTCTGTCAAGCACTGTCCAAACCACTCCATGCATATTACTCCATTTATTATTTCCATTTATACACTGGGAAATTAAGGCCAGAGAAATTATGCAATGTGCTCGAAGCTGCACTGGTAACTGGTGGTAGAGCTGTTGTAGGAACCCAGGTGGTGTGGCTCTGGAGTTTTCTCCTGACAGTTTCCTACATCACATGCTTTGTCCCTATATGGGAGTTGGCGTTAGGGTCCATCCAGCTGCTGCAACCATCAAGTTAAAAGTTAAAAAGATGTCCTCCGGCCTTCCTGCTCCTAGGCCTGGGGACTCCACTGTAGCTGTAGTCATCTAACTTAGACACATACACATGTGTGCGAGAGTGTACAATACATGCCTGCTTATTTATGAGAAATAACACAACTAGTCCTAGAACTAAAAGGTAATCATTTCTACATAGGATTTCCCTGTCACTGAAGCCTCTCTTTCATTTCAGTACAAGAGCAGCTGCACAGTAGTAGTACACAGACGGCAGGAGGATCACCATCTCTGGGCAAGGTAGACTTATGAGTACATCTCTTTCTACACAGGTAGAGACATCTCTTCAATGCATATGTGACCACAGTGCCAGTCACAAGGTCAGACGATACGGGTGACTTTCTTCAGTGGATTCTAAGGAGCATTCCCTTTCCAACCGGCATGCTGGTTAATGTCCTATAGCATTCTACATAGTATGAAAGTCTCTCCTGTGTAAGACCTCATTTGTTTTTGCAGGAATCATTCCTGTACATTTCCAGGATATTATTGTTATTTCCATTTGAGGCAAGAGGAAGTTACGGTTCTAAAGTTTCTACCTGATTTGATCAAACTTTTATACACCAAGCAAGCAAGTAGCAGAGTTGGGATTAGAACCCATACTTTTTGGTGCTTTGACAAATGACACGTGAATTGCCAAGGATCCAGGACCATCCTCGTTCTCATTTTGTAAAAAAAGAGAGGGACTAAAAGTTATGGTAGACATTGTTTAAAAGATGAGAGAGTCTCGAAAAACCAAAAAAAAAAAAAAATGAGAGAGAGTATTAAAAATCTATTTTATCTTACTACTATTCTTTCTTTCTCTCTCTCTCTCTCTCTCTCTCTCTCTCTCTCTCTCTCTCACACACACACACACACACACACACACACACACACACACAGACATACACACACACAGAGCTTCATGAGAAAAATCTGTTTGACCAAACTTGAGTGAAGATTTAGCAAATCTAAACAATCAGGTTATTTGCTACATAGTCTATATGAGTATTACATTACTGTTTTCACAAACTTCACTAAAAACCCCAGAGGCAAAGGTAAGCCTATACAAGAGATCCAAGCTGACCTTATCGACCCTCTGGATGTCTATGGATAGAACTCTAAACATCTCCCTGAGTACTCGGCCCCCCACTGCAGTGAGATGCCATGCAAGGCTGACTTCTCTTTTGCTGATAGTGGTACAGATGTGATGGAAATGTCGTCTCTCCACTCAAGCCCGCTTCACTCCTCCAGCACACAATGCCGAGGCAATTCCTTTCCCAGGCTTGCTTTTATTTTTAACACGAATACAGTGGGAAAGTTTCTGCCACAGTAAGGCAAAGTCCAGGCTTTTGTGAACACGTCCTTTTCATCCAATGGGCATTA